TTACAGCTCAGGACATAGACAAGAATAGTAGGACGCGACTGCGCGAGGCGTACAACTGTACTGTCAGAATGTCAGATAACGATAGTATTAATAGTAATAATACACACAATCATAAAATGCCTAGTTATTTATAAATATTAACCATTTATATTGAGAATTGCTTGGTATTGTGGTAACTAGAACCCCTATAGGTACCTACATATAATAATATGCAGTAAATAATGACTTATTTTTATTGAGAATTTCTCATTTCTATTACATTATCAGTTGTTACGTACAAAATACAAATATTGATTGATTGTTTTTGTATAATTAACCTCTTAATAATAATAATAGATTTACGTATTTGTTTAGTTCATATTATCTACCATGACCAATGACAATTGACAGATATATCAAATAAAATTAATGATATAACAAAACCGAAATTAATTGTAAAAACTTTTTAAAAAAAGTATGGGTTGCGGTTAAGTTGCGGTTTTTAAATAAATATAAATAAGGGTTCCGGTAAGGTTCCGGTTTTTAAATAAATTTGAGTAAGTGTTCCGGTGAGGTTCCGGTTTTAAAATTAATTTGAATTAGGGTTTCGGTGAGGTTTCGGTTCCCAATATTTAAAGGGTTCCGGTTCCAAAACCGGTTCTTTTCGGTACGGTTCCAGTCCCTGGTTCACGAGTTTGGGTGGATAGGGTGACCGATGTAAATAACAGAACGCCAATGTTGTGATAATAATAATAAATGTGTCTTTTGGAACACGAAAAATACAATAAAATGCCTGGGGAAGACGTCTCTTCAACCGAGCACAGATAAACAATAATATGAATAATAATAAGTAGCAATCATCGGACAAATATGTGCAATAACAACAATGTTAATAATGAATTGATTAGTGATTACCCATCGGCACATTCGCCTTGGTGGGGTGGTGTATCGGCGGCGGTGGTGACTGCAACAGTTGGGGCTACAATGTCGTCGACACGCAGGTTAACGGGGGGACGGGGGCGGCTGTTGACGGCGCACCGACCGATGGCGAGTCGCCGGATTACGTAATGAGCAAATGACGTAATCGCAGCACTAAAGCAGCGTGGCACGAGGGATCAGGGCTGGCGTAAGCTATGGGCGACCTAGGGCGCCAGCACGGAACGGGCGCCAAACTAAAAACTACTTTTATTTAATTTATCTTTTAATACGCATTAACAATACAATTTGAAATATTCATTATCTAATGTGGTTTTAATTGAAGACACATTTGCAATCGTCTCATATTTGTATAATGAACTATCATAATTAGTAAGAATATAACAGTTATGCATCGATACCGCGATAATATTTACCCATTTGCAGTGTTTTTAAAGAACGTCGTTCATGAACGCAAGTTCACGCTCACTTGAAGAAAATATCTTAGGTTATAATTATATAAAGCATAATGCAGTCTGCAATAGTTTTTCAAAATATTCCAAGATCGAGAATTTAGGTTAGGTTAGGTTAGGTTTTGTTTTCCAATGCTCACTACTAGGGATAGGATAGTATAGGATTTTGAAATTTTTTTTAGGATTTACAGGGCATAGCTTTTCAAGCACAAAATGTGATTTGGTCATATACGAGTCCAAATATATAGTTTTTATTTTGCTTTTTTTGCATTTTTTGTACTTTTATATATTTAGGGTCATTTTGTAGCATTTTTAGGTCATTTTTTCAATTTTACGGGCATATTTTATACTTTTTTGAAATCTAGGTAATATTTTTCTACATTTTCATTTGCACTAGATGTTCTCGATAAAAGTTTTGAATTTGTAACAGAAATAATATCATATTCAATATTTCAATTACATTGATAGTATAAAGAATAATTGATGGCTTAGACACGGCTCATTTTACTGACGAGTTCAATATCGACGATATCACGTACATGAAATTTCAAGCTGGCCTTTGCATGTTAAGTCCAAACTTCAAACTTTATTATTCATATCAAGAAAATCCTAAATTAACATTTATTTTGCTATGTTTTTATAATATTATAATTTAAATAATTTTGTACCGAAATAATAATTAATTAATAATAATTAATAATTATAATGCATTTTTATAACATTTTAAAATCATTTTTTATCTTTTGGGCATTTTTAAGGTCATTTTTAGGTTATTTTAAGGTTATTTTTTTAGGACATTTTTAGGTTATTTTAATGTCATTTTTTTAGGTTTTTTGGGTTATTAAAATCCTAGCCCTACTCACTACTATCCCCACCTAATTGTGCACTGACCACTCCCACTCCTGCACACAGATCAACAAGTATTTTGTGAATTTTAGATTTTTCCCGTTATATTAATTTAGGTAAATATTCATATATTTATAAAGAGATTGTCAGCTTTTGCCATTGGATATGAGTCGAGTAAAAATGTAGTATTTCGCCGGGTACCGAGCAAGGGCCGGGGAAAAATGTAGGTATTACGCCGGCCATCGAGTAATTTCCGGGTACCCGGAACATCTCTAATTTGTATAATGTATTAAAACCTACAATAATTTAGTATACATACAATGTAATTTATTGTATATTTATCATATTTTATATACATGTTTATATTAATTACCTTCACGGTATACCATCGCAAGGTCATTTCTGCTATCTCACAGTCGGATGCGAGTTACACAACGATCGAATAATAGCAATACAATTAAAAATAAGCCCTCCCGTTTGCCACAGTTTGCCACAGTTCTTTATATTATTATGGCAGGGCGGCGGAGAGGAAGCGAACGCACAACGTTTTCGTAGCTCAATTACCGGGAATCGGAGGAGTAGTGGTATTCAAAGGAATAATAAATTAGGCAGTAGCCATTTTCCTCCGAAAACGAATGGGAAAGTAAGGGGTAGACTTAACACGCTCAAACTTTATCATAATTATTTTTTTAATACATAGAATACAATTTGAGGCACTTCTCATCAAATTTCAAAAAAAAAAATTGACCTCTATAGCTATAAATACCCCCCTAATATGTATATATAATATATAATACTATTGTAATTTTGTACGGTAAACGTTAAAATTCGTATACCACAAGTGCGATTGGATATAACCATCTTGTAAATAATATTGTCCTCCACAATTTTTGTATGACAATTATTTTTGTACAACCAGTATAAAGCTAGATATTAATGCAATGGCTACTTGTTTTTATCATAAAATTCATATTTCATTAAAAGTGTACATTTTGATGGCCTTATAACGCGAAAACTATAACTTTACCTGAAAATGTCATAAAAACTTTTTTTTTGATAATTAATTTCTCTACAATTTATAACTTTTTACTGTACGACTCATAAAAAGCGGGATATTAAAAAAAAAGGTGTGGCCTTTAACCTCGAATAACCTTTGACGAGTACATGAGACAGATGTCGACTTTTCACACGTTTTCTAAAACGATGTCATAAAGGTGTGTACCAAAATTCAGCTAAGTGGGAATTTTTCCGAGCTGAAAACCTAATATGACTGGACTACTAAAATATTGGAGGAAAATAGACATAATTTCATTCTAAATTAATGTGGAGGAAAATTTAAACCACTTTTTTTTGTGGAGGAAAAAGGTATATCGTTTTTGCCGGGAAAATAAATTATTATCGTTCCCGTGTTGGTACACTGTTTGGGAAAAACTTTGAAGTATGCACGATTGGCGCGTCGGTAGCCTGGTTAGTCTGGTTAGCTAGTCAGTGCGGTCGCTGCCTATGGCAGACGGCGACGGGCTGACACCATTGGATTTCGCCACACCACTAGAGCATGACCGTTGGTTTTGAGTGGGTACGGGTCGCGGGAAGTACTATCTCGATACGCACACCAACTCACGCTAACGGGCGCCTGGTATTATGTCGTTATGTTGGCAACCTCCTCGATCCGCTGCCCGTCCACCGATCCCACACCGCGCCAACGAGCTGGCAGTTCATATTCCTTCGACACTCGTCCGTCGACATTGCCGCGCGTAGCTCGTTGTCCGCCACGTGCTCATCGTTCTACGGTTTCCCGTTGTCCTCGAATTGGCCACCGACAGCACTGCGTGACCCGTTCGGTGTAGTTCATTGAATTATTATAGTATTATTATAATTTAATATTTATACAGTTGTCGACGTAGTTGGTTTTTCGCCAGTCTTTATCTGCCTTTTTTTCAATTGCCATTACCAATGTTTTATGTTATTTTGACTCGATGAACACTTCAAAAATGGCTTCTGTAAACAGCGTTCCAGCAAACGAAGGTAACGATATTAAATTGATGATTATAACAATGTAACGTAACGTAATTTGGTTTTAATTTTTTTATTGTGTTGGACAAGATTGTAGGCGATACCGTAGTGGTGGGAATTATCCGTATTCGGTACAGACTCGATGTCGGTGTACCCTGATGGGGACCATTTTGTAGTTGGTAACTTTGTACTGAATGTTCGAACGTGGAATAATAAATGTACTCATTCCTACTCGTTCCACCAATGTAATCGTTACATTGTACCTAGTACAGTAGTAACGACCCACCACTACTATACCGTCCTCGGTTTAGTTATCTTGATTAATATTGATTATTATAATTTATTCGATATTATTGTTATTATTATAGTTATTATCATGTGTTGAGGCCTAATAATATAAATATAAATTTATATTGCTATTAATAATTGTTGTATTTTAAATTAGTAAGCAAAAATAATATTGTTTGACATTTATTTATTTAACATAATTGACGAGGCAACTCAAAACAAGCGAGACGCGAGAGAGATTACTTACACACACAGTCAAATACAAATGAATATGATATATTACAGTGTTACCTTAACACAACATCTTCCTTCTTCTTTTTTTTTTTTTTAAATGTAATGTAATAAGAATATAATAATAATTTAGGATAATAATACAAAATATATAATGATAATGATGATAATACAAGAAAAAATAACATATTACATAAAATATATAGTAAAAAAAATAATTAATATAATATGTAATTACTTAATAATAATTATGGCTTATAAATCTAACCGTTTAGGTTTAATTATTGTTCTACCAGAACGAGTAGATTTTTTATCTATGTTTAAATTTAAGTTAGGTTGTTCATAATTATTTTTTCTAGAAGTGGTTGAAGCACAAGTTATTAAATGTTTTCTGTTTCTTCTATAATTGCCCCCCTTTTCACCTTCAATTACATAAGATCTAGGATGTTTATCAATTTGAATCACTTTACCATTAATCCAAGGACCATTGGGTGCTAATTTAAATACAACTTTTTCACCAACTGCAAGAGGTGTTAAATATTTTGTTTTTTTATTATAATAATTAGTTATTTTATCTGTGTTTTTTTTATTTTATTTTATTTTGGTAATCACTTAATTCAGTTAATTTAGGTTTTAAGTTATCTATGGGAACAGGTAATTTTGTTCTAATTGATTTTGACATTAATAGTTGAGATGGAGAACATAAATTACCTTTAGGAGAATTTCGATTATGCATTAAAGCTATATATATATATATATATCAGTTTTACTTTCTTTAATTTTTTTTAGTAATTTCTTTATTGACTGTATTGATCTTTCTGCTAAACCATTAGATTGATAATAATGTGGACTTGAAGTGATATGTTCTATATCCCATTCAGACATAAACTGTTTAAATTCTAATGAACTAAATGGTGGACCATTATCAGACACTATTGAAAATGGTATTCCAAATCTAGCAAACATTGATTTTAGATGTTGAATAACAGAAGTACTTGTAAATCCTGATGTTGAATGTGCAATTTCTTTAAATTTAGAATAATAGTCTACCACCAATAAATATATTTTATTATCAAAGTGAAATAAATCAGTTCCTAACTTAAACCAAGGTATTTGAGGTATATCATGTGGTATTATTTCTATATTTCATGCATACCTCACAATTTTCAACAATATTTTTTATATCAGAATTTATGGTAGGCCAAAATATTAAATCTCTTATTGAATTTTTACATCTTTCAATCCCCATGTGACCTTCATGAACTATTTTTAACATTTCTGGTCTTAAATTTTTAGGTATAAGCAAACTTTTATTTTTAAATAATAAGTTATCTATTACACATAAATATTCTTCAAAAGACCAATAGGGTTTAATAATTTCCTCAATTAAATTCTTATTTTTTGGCCACCCACTTTGTATAACTTCACTAAGCTTTTTACATACGAAATCATTTTGTGTTTCTTTTTAATCAAATCTAATTTATTTTTTGAAATTGCTATATTTAAAATTAAATTTTGAACATTTAAGATTATATCATCTTCAATTTCATCAACTTCAGTTATTTGAAGTGCTGCTCTAGACAAAGTATCAGCAATTATAAGTAATTTACCAGGAACAAAAAATGTAACTTTTAGATTGTAGTTTAAGCATCATGCGTTGGAGACGGACAGGTACAGAATGAAGAGGTTTTGTAAATAATGTAATTAGTGGTTTATGGTCAGTTTGCACAGTAATTGTTTGACCATACAAATATTGATGAAATTTAGTGCAACCCAACATTATAGCATATAATTCTTTTTCAATCTGAGCAAAATTTTGTTGACTTTCAGTTTATGACTTTGAATCATAAGCACAAGGTTTATTATCTTGCAGCAAAACTGCACCTACAGCATATTTTGAAACATCGACTGATAACGTTATAGGTTTTGAACTGTCAAAATAACTTAAAACAGGAAATTTTGATATAATATTTTTTAAATGACAAAATGCTTTTTCAAAATTGTCATCCCATTGCCACAATGAATTTTTTTTTTAACAAGTCACGCAGAATAATTGATTCGGCAGCTAAATTAGGTATGTACGCACCTAGATAATTAATCATGCCTAGAAACCTTTGTAAGTCTTTTACACATTTTGGTGATGGTAAATTAGTTATTGCTTTAACTTTTTCATCATCTGGCATAACACCATTTTCATTAAAAAAGTGTCCTAAAAATTTTACCTCTTGGACTCCTATTTGACATTTTATTTTATTAAATTTAATATTAATTTGACGGGATCTTTCAAATACCTTTTTTAGTATAAGATCATGTTGTTCTTTATTTTTAGCATATATGATAAGATCATCAACATATAAAAATACACCATCAATATCAGAAAAATGTTCTGTCATTACTCTATGAAAAACTTCTGATGCACAATTTAAACCATAAGGAAGTCTAATAAATTTATACCTACCAAAAGGTGTGTTAAATGTACATAAGTTGGCACTTTCCTCATCAAGAGGTACCATCCAAAAACCACAACTATCACCTAAAGTGGAAAAATAACATGGACCATTTAATCTAGATTTAACATTTTCAAAACTAGGAAGTGGATAGTGTGAACGTTTTATGGCTTTATTTAGATTTCTCGGATCCAAACATATTCGAAGCTTATTATTCTTTTTTATTACAATAACTATAGAATTTACCCAGGACGTTGGTGCATTTACTTTTTCTATTACTTTCATATTGACCATATTTTTCAGTTCAGATTCTAGTTCATCATAAATTTTAAATGGAACTCTCCTAGGAGGGTCAATTTTAGGTTGAATATTAGTGTCTAAATGAATATGATACGTGATTGGTAGACATCCTAGACCTTCAAATAAATCTTCTTACTCATTTAAAATAGAAATCTCTTTATCATTATTTATGAGATTAATTCTAGATATTAAATTAAGATTATTACAAGTTTCCAACCATAGTATAGTATTTTATGAAAAATCAACTGTGTAAAATTCAATTAAGTAATTTTTTTGTTTATAAAAACATTTAATAGTGCTTTTACCTAAAGTGGATATCTTATTAGAGTTAAAAGCCATTAATTTTACATTAGATTGTGTTTTAATACTACTGACAGAAATATTCATTTTTTTTTAAATTTCAATTGACATTATATTAGCTTGGGCACCTGTATCTAACTGAAAATTCACATATCTATTATTAATTTGTAATACAATTTGCCAAACATAATTTTTATTATGATCAATTCTAGAACCAATAAAAAGTAAATTATCATTACTAGAGTTATTTTTAATAACTATCATAGCCACTCGCAATCAAATAAATGTTGAACTCTTGCAACCAATTGGACCAATTTTGACATAAATTTCCATCTAAGGATAGTTGATTTACATTACCAATAAGACCTGACTACATTGTAAATGTTTTTGTAGAAATTTGAGTATCAGTGCACGTGGTTTGTTGCGGCTCGTTTATTGACTCATCATGTTGTGATCCAGATTTATCTGCTTGATCCTTCTTTTTTCGACCCATAATGAATCAACACCTGACACAATGTTGTATTTGAAATTAGTAAACAAAAATAATATTGTTTGACATTTATTTATTTAACATAATTGACGAGGCAACTCAAAACAAGCGAGACGCGAGGGAGATGACTAATTACACACACAGTCACATACAAATGAATATGATAGATTACAGTGTTACCATAACAAAACAATAATAAGATGGTCTCATTTGTTTTTTTGGTTAACCTCAAACGACTATTAAATAATGTATCGAATTCAGGATAAACAGAATAAATAAACAGAATTAAAATGTAATTGACACACTAGAGTAAAATAAATTTAAATGGTAAGTGAATAATAAATTCGTCGATGAAACCTATTTAAATATATAATAACAACAATACGTATAATTAATAATAAGTAAATAAATGATTAAACAAACAATCAAAATAAATAAGCAAACAAGAAACAAATAAATAAATAATAACAACTGTCATTAGTTATCTACAATTAACTCAGTTGATCAAATAATTTATTCAAATCTATTTATTATTAGTAAGCCTCAAGCCCTCAACTCTCAAATGAAGACTTTGGGGCAACAACGAGACATGTCCTTTTTTAAAATTATTCAACAGACAAAAAAAACATTGTAAATTCCAAATAAAAAGATTAGAATTTTTTTAAAAAAATAGTAGAATTTAGTTACATACATACCTTTTAATAACTTGTTTGGACATATCTTGTTGTTGCACCAAAATTAAATTTTTATTTAATATGTATTTTTCTGGACATATCTTGTTGTTACACCAAAATTACATTTTTATTTAATATGTATTTTTCTGGAAATATCTTGTTGTTGCACCACACAACGACAAGACATATTATAACTTCATATGTAACAGTCAGACATATCTCATTGTTACATCAATCGATGCAGATTTTTTTTATATATTTTATGACAATATAAAGTGATTTTGGCCAAAACATAGACATGTTAATGCCCTAAAGTCTTCAAATAGCCAAGGGGTTATAAAAATTCCGAAAATAATGTCAGCTGACAAAAGTTAGACCCAATAATATAAACGTTTTTTAAATTAATATTAATGTATTTTTACAGATGTTATTAACTTATTAAATTTATTTATTGAACTATTCATAACATATATTATGATATTATAATTGTCATTAATTCATAATAATAATAATAAATATATAATATTTTTGCAGGTTGATTCATATAGCACTCATGCTCAGCCGCCCTCAACTTGTGGCTATTCTATTGCAGCCAGAAATCAAAGTATAGCTGCCCAGTGCTATAATGCGGTACTTATTTTTCAACTTTCTTAATTTTTTTTCCCCACTTATTCCTAACCCCTTATATAGAAATACTAAACCAATTATATGTAGTTCAAAGCACATGCTCTAAACTATTTTGTATTTTATAATTTTGTCTCCTTTAAAGAAATAACTTTTTTGTATTATTATTTAACACAAATAATTTTTATAAACTAACGGATTAATTATTGTTATTCCTCAGTTGGCAATTCAAACAATTAACGTTTTTTTTTACACTTTTTTGTTGACTAAAAGTAATGCTGATATATTAATAAATAATAATTATAAAATAAAGTATATTGCTTTTCTTTTATTTGAAATTGTTTTAAAATTAAGAGTCCAGCTGTTACTATGTTGGATAATTTTATAATTTAATATATTTTGATGCTTTATTAAAGTTAATTTATAATTTAATAAAAGTATTGACTACAAGTTTTGCATGTGTGATATAATAATTAATTGTTTGAATTCAATGGTGGGTATTAATATTACATTGTGGGCTATGTAATATATATTAGTAAATTAACAATTTTTTATATTGAATTTTTATTGAATTTTCAGGGTTCAACGAAATAGCTATTTTGCACAGCTGGTTAGGTGAGTGATGCAGGTGCGGCGATTAAAATATGTCTAATTTTGAGGAATATTGGCCGGCTAAGGTGGTTGATACACAACTAATAACTAGTCAGAAGTCTAACTAACGGCAATGGAAGGAATTGATGAGGCAGCTTGAAGTTACTCAAAGTACTGGCTCATCAACTGCGATGCGGAAGGAGAATTAGTCCACCACATTAAAATACCTAGTAAAGCAGTATGGATCAAGTATTGGAGGATTAGGAAAAGGAGAAGGTGCAGAGGGTCAAGAAGTAGGTGCATTCGGTCTAGGAACTAGAAATGAAAGAGGAGACCGCCTTGTAGACTTCTGCAATCAACATATTATGACCATAACTAATACATAAAATACCTAAAATGTGCAAGAAAGAAATGTGGTTTTATTCGTATTAACTCTGTGTTGTGCCATATTGTATTAAAGATGACCAAAAATATGTCCCGCTCTATTACTTTGAAGGTGAAACAGAAAACCTAAGACAGCGGGCTGTAAAATTAGAAAATTGGAACTTGGAATATCTCAAGTTCTGTTTTAAAGTGCAGGGTATCAGAAATGAGTTGTTTGCCAGTGCCCCTTGCACAGCGACCAGTCTTAACAACTATGTACAATCCAATGACAAATGGCAATGTAATGTCACATTCAAGTCAAATGAGACAATTCTACAATCAACGTTCTAACAATAATCAAGCCCAACAACAACAGTTGCAGCAATAACATCAGATACCACAGCAACAACAAATAATTACCACTAATCAAACTCAGCAGTCATATAGTGGCCATCTGTCGTTTAATCAACACACAACAGCGCAGCGC